TATATATATATATATATATATATATATATATACATATATATATATGTGTACACATATACATATACATATATACATATATACATACATACATGTAATACATTCAAAATCCTTTTTGAATAACAAAACAAAATATACATAAATATATATACGAACTAACAAATACAAATCACACTAACTAAATGAAAGTACACGCGCAGTCACAAGCACACAAGCAAAATGGCACTTGAGCAACAAAGTAACTTAACAACAACAACCACAACAAACTATATAAAATAGCAAAATATAAAATGAAAAATGAAAAAAAAAAAACAAAACAAAAACCAGAAACATAATTCAATGCTAGCAAACGAAATGTATAACGTAAAATTTGCATTTGCAAGAAGAAGAAGAAGATCCAAATAAAACAAAAATAAATTGAAGCTCAGATTCTCAGAAAATGGCAAGCATAAAATTAATGAAAATAATAACAGCAGAAAATGCTAAATAAAAAAACAAATATTAACGAGAGAAAAACAAAGTTAAAAAAGACAAACAAATAAACAAATGCATAAAAACAATTACTATATAAATAAATGTTACGCGTTATTAAATAAAGAAGAATGAAAATAATTTGTTTTAAAAAAATACCACGTTGTGTGTTTGTTTTTTGGTGATGAAATTGGGGCTGGAACAGCGGATTTAATAATTCCATTAAGTTCCTAACTCGCATGCTTGGGCCAAGCAAATGATGAGCTCTGACTTTATCCAATTTCATAAAAGTCTTCTAGCTTTATGTTTTATTTTTTATCTTTTATATTTATTCACGTTTATTTTTGTTCTTCACATAAAATTGAACTTGGTAAGCTGCGCTGGAGCTGCCACATATTTACCCAGAGCCAGGGCCAGCAGCGAAAAGTGACAGCCCGGATAGAGTTCGTTGCAGTCGCGCGGCTGTCGCTTGGAGCGCCTGTAGATGCGGTCGTAGTGGTGATGCGCCCGCGGCTCATGGTCCATCACTGGCGACGCGGGCATGCTAAGCACGGCGTGGACCAGCTCCTCCAGCATGTTGCCACGCTGGCCGGGAGCATGCAGGTACTTGGCGCTCTCGCACAGAGCACGAGCCACACAAGCGCGTCCATTGAAGCCCATGCTGGCCAGAGGAAAACCAACTGCGATTAGACTGGGCTGTCGTGAATTGAAGTCTACTTACTGATCGAATGCGGACTGAATTTCGTCGTAGAAACTGCGCCTCGAGCGTCGCTGCAGCATGGGCTTGGTGAGATTGGTGAAGCCATGGGCATTCTGTATAACCCAATTATGATTGGGCAGGTCGTACGCAACGCCCCAGTTGACGGCCCAGCTGAGATAGTCCACATCGGGATTGCCAATCATGCCAATGGTTAGGCAAATCGCCGCCTATGAATCGAAATAATTAGTGGAGGCCACAGCAACTGGCTGCATGGCTGAACTCACACCGAAACCGAAGAGCCCTCCGGAAATGCCAGATATCGCTTCTGGCGACTGAGTAACCTTGTCACGGCTCTTGTGGCATTGCCACCTGGCTCAGCAACCAGCTGTGCCTCAGCTATGGCCGCACGACTCACGGACAGCAGAACTATTGCATTTAGCACCAATTGCAATGGACGAGTCATTCTTACAGCGTGGCGTTTGGCTAGAGACTGATTCCGGCTAACGATGCTTAATTGCTAGCACACCTGCTCTGCACTAGATCCACCTCTTTGGTGGGCAGCAGCTTAACTGCTGTTGCCCCAGCTGATTAGCGACTGCCTGCAAATACTCGCACAACGGTTCACAGTTAACAGGCCGCAGCAACACCTAAAAGTAAACAGAAGCCGCATGCTCCATTGCTTCATGCCAAGCTTTATCAGCATTCAACGTATTCTGGGCCCGCACAAAAACTATGCTGTATTTACAGCGGAAAACAAACACAAATTAAGAGAGAGAAAAATGCGAAAAATAGCCAGAAAGTGGGCCAAAAAAAATTATACATAAATATATATACAAATTTACATATATACACAACCATGTATATATGTATAAATGCATGTGTTTATTTGCATATATATATGGATATTTATTAAATGTCCGCTTTTGGATATTTACTTAAATTCAATTGCACATTTTTTTTCAACACATAATAAAAATAAACTTTTTTGCGTTGCCAATTTATTGCCAAGTTTTTTAAGCAAACTAAAAAAACATTTCCGACTGTCCTAGAAAAACTGTGAGCCAAAAGCCAAAAGCCCAATTATGATTGTGCAATATAAATGTTAAGCTTTAAATTACAATATATACATTTTTTTAGTTTTTTTTTTATAATTATTAATTGCTGCACATAATTAATGCAAAAATATTATTATAATTTGTATTATAAATAAATCTATCTAAATACAGAAAATTATTGTCACAAGTTATTCTGATTCCCGTTACCTTTAAATATGTCATTCGTTCTCTCTCTCTTTCTCTTTTTGTATCTTTCTCTCTCTTTCATTGTGAATCTCTTGATATTTTATAAATATTTAATATGATAAAATTAAACTTTCTGTTATAGATGATTTATTTTGGTAAAATCAAATATCTCAATTGTTTTATAGACTTTAACACGAACTATAGGCAAATGCAAAGCATTCGAATGCACATGCATATATAAACATAGAAATTTGCTACAGATAGAATCAGATTGGACTAAAATAGAAGTCAACAACCACATCATTTCATTACAGATTGACTAAAGACCGGATACATATTTTATATTATTATGTTATATTGTTTTATTTGTTAAATGTAAATTTGCCCCGAAATTGTTCGCTGAAATGTAGTAAGAAGCTCTGAGGACAGTATGCCCCATACCACTGGGCGCACTCGTGCAGCGAGTGGCCAGCGGTAAAGGCCTTGTGATACGCCGGCTTCTGGGCAATCTCCGGATGCACGTAGCGCAGCAGAATGCGGAAGATATCGTGGAACAGCGACTGACCAGGAGGCACCAGCAGATGGCGGGACTCGCACAGCGTGCGCATGATGCAATAGCGCGACTTATACTGGTGGCTGTCCCAGAGACAGAGAGAGAGAGAGAGAGAGAGAGAGAGAGAGAGAGAGAGAGAGAGAGAGAGAGAGGGCGAAGGATTTTATAAGTGTTAAGCGCGTGTGCTTTGTGGTGTCTTTTTTTTGTACTTACATCTGAGACAGCATTATCAGCAAATCAAAGAGCATTCCATGTGGACTCTGGCCCTCGTTCACGAGGTTGGCACCGTCTCTCTTAAGCTCGCGGTTCAGACGCCGGACCACTGCTGAGGGCCGGCAATAATAGTTGCCATACGCGTCCTTCACCAGCTTGGATGCAGGACACCCGGTGGATGGTTGCTGCACATAGGATTTGCGGTGTCCTACAACTGGTGACACTTGTGGATATGCGTAGTAAAACGAGTGTATGGGATCGGCTGGGCTTAAGGGAATAATTATCGGTTGCTGAGTGAACAGCAAAGGTGCAGCTGGAACTGCTGCTGCAGGAAAGGCCAGAGCTTGTGCTGGAGTAGATAGCGGAGGTGGTAGTGTTGGTGCTGGTGGTGGAGATGAAGGCGGTAAGGGCTTTGGCTTTTGCCTGCGTCTTGGAAATAAGTCATCAACCGATCCAGGCAGTTCATAAACCGAAGTTGCCTCAAACACCAGCTGCAAGCCTCTGGGAATAGTGTCCACCACAGCCTTTGCACAATTGGCAGTCAGCTGTAGTAATATATAAAAATGATTAAACATAAACAAAATTCTAATCCTAACGATGATTGTGCTGATGGCCCTTACTGATTAGATTGGATTACTTACTGAGACAGCGGTGCCTGGCTCAAAGATAAGCCAGCGCTTTTGGCGCTGCAGCAAGTGCGGCAGGTGCTTCGGTTTCTCGCGGACATAGCTGAGGGCGCGGCTATCGGAGCTGTTATATTCAGCTCTGACCAGAGTCAGCAACGTGGTAAGCAGCAGCCCTAGGAGTAAACAGCGCATGCGATCAGCCATAACTGCAAGCGTAGAGCGACTGAAGTACAGACATGTCGGCCATCGAACTGCTGGAGTGCTCTCCTAATTGACTGCAATGCGACTTTGTTTTGCGAGGTAATTAGTTTAAAATTGCCATGGCTAAACCTCAAGAATTGCATTAAGCCTGCACCCAGTTTGCAATCTAATTTAATTAACAACTTGACATTCTCTGTCTCTATTTATCTCATTAAGAGTATTCAAGCATTAGCATACGAATATACGAAGATCGTATAACAGCAACTAGCAGCCTGTGCGAGGGGAAAATATAAGGGTGACATGTGTAGACTCTATAAATAGACAGATGAGCACTAACCCTTCCAGTCTTAGCAACAATAATATGTAAGAGACGACCGTTGAGCCCTACAAACTCAGCCATAAGAGAAGAATATGTAAAAGACCAATGTTGAGCCTTACACACTCAACAATAGACGCACTTTCCTTTACAGATGATATATTTTGGTGAATGAAAATAAGAACATTGTTCTATAGGCTTAAACACAAACTATAGATAAATGACAGATATTCTATTGCATATTTCAATATCAATACCGATCAGCATTAGATAACTATAATCAAGATTTACTATAGATAGAACTCAGATATAAGTCAGCAACCACATTATTTCATCGCAGATTGACTAAAGGTCGAACACATATTTTATTTAATTGTGTTTATGGCTTTATTTGTTAAATGTATTTGCAAATTTGCCTCGGAATTGTTCGCTGAAATGTAGTAAGAAGCTCTGAGGACAGTATGCTCCATACCACTGGGCGCACTCATGCAGGGAGTGGCCAGCGGTGAAGGCCTTGTGATATGCCGGCTTCTGGGCAATCTCCGGATGCACGTAGCGCAGCAGAATGCGGAAGATATCGTGGAACAGCGACTGACCAGGAGGCACCAGCAGATGGCGGGACTCGCACAGCGTGCGCATGATGCAGTAGCGCGACTTATACTGGTGGCTGTCCCAGAGAGAGAGAGAGAGAGAGAGGGCGAGGGATTTTATAAGTGTTAAGCGCGTGCGCTTATTGGTGCATTTACTGTACTTACATCTGGGACAGCATCATCAGCAAATCGAAGAGTATTCCATGGGGACTCTGGCCATCGTTTACGAGGTTGGCACCGTCTCTTTTAAGCTCGCGACCCAGGCGCCGGACCACTGATGAAGGCCGGCAGTGATAGTTGCCATACGCGTCCTTCACCAGCATGGATGCAGGACACCCGGTGGATGGTTGCTGAACATAGGATTTGCGGTGTCCTACAACTGGTGGCACTTGTGGATATGCGTAGTAGAACGAGTGTATGGGATCGGCTGGACTTAAGGGAATAATCACCGGTTGCTGGGAGTACAGCAAAGGTTCAGCTGGAACTGCTGCAGCAGGCACTACAGGTACCACAGCTTTTGCTGGGGTAGGTGGTGGTGGTGTTGATGGTGGTGGTGGTGGAGGCGGTGCGGGCGTTGGCTTTCGCCTGCGTCTTGGGAATATGTCATCAACCGATGAAGGCACTGGATAGAACGCAGTTGCCTCGCCCAGCAGGAGCAAGCCTCTTGGCCTAGTGTCCACCACAGCCTTTGCACAATTGCCAGTCAGCTGCAGCAGTATTTAATAAATAAAAGTGATTTTCATGATACACAAAGTGCCAGTGGTGGCCAGATTACTTACTGCGACGACAGTGCCTTTCTCAAAGATAAGCCAGCGCTTTTGTCGCTGCAGCAAGTGCGGCAGATGCTTGGGTTTCTCGCGGACATAGCTGAGGGCGCGGCTATCGGAGCTGTTATATTCAGCTCTGACCAGAGTCAGCAACGTGGTAAGCAGCAGCCCTAGGAGTAAACAGCGCATGCGATCAGCCATAACTGCAAGCGTAGAGCGACTGAAGTACAGACATGTCGGCCGCCGAGCTACAGAGTCGATTTAGACCAAGATCTTAGGACACAGCGTGGCTAGTCAATTTGGATCTGGAGAGCTGACCATGATTGACCGCAAAGTTAGTTTGTTTGGTTAAGTAATTAGTTCGAACTAGCCACGGCTGAACCTCAAGAATTGGGTCAGGCCTGAAACCAGTTTGCAATCTAATTTAATTAACAACTTGGCATCAATGGGAAATGGCAAGGGCCGGCAGACGATGCCTCAAATGCTGCTGCCCAAAATCCAAGCCCAATCTTTGATTCAGTTGTCGAAATATACGCAGCCAGAATATGTCAAACACTTGGTTGGTTCCTGGACTAGAACTAGTGCTAGTGCTGCTGCTGCTGCTGCCGTTGGGCGATTGCCAGGGCGGACTGTCTCTGAGTGCTGGGGCCAAAAGCGATGCTCTGGATGTGTTTGCCACAGCGGCACAGCTGGCAACAGCCATCGATGCGCACACGAATCATGAAAGCCGAGTCAACAATATCACGCTGGCAGACGCTGAGGAAATGGACCCATTGGAGCCGCACGCTGCTTCATTGAGGCCATTGTCACAGCGTAAGCTCTCGAGGGGGAAACGTTTTGTGGCATTTCCTCTGGGTTCATCGGCATCGGTAAGTGAACAGCAAACAAAGCACACGGCACCACACATGCGGACAACAGCATCAGAGTTTCTGCATAGTTTAAGCCAAATTCTTTGCAAACTTAGGCCGCTATCTGCCTGACCACGGGCGTCATTGGCAATCCTCACTACTTGTACTTAAGCTTTGGTCTGAATTGGGGCATTGCCTACGACTTGCCCAACATCACGTGGGTGTTGCACAATGCCCACGGCTGGAACAGAAAGAGACCCAGCGCGGCAGTTGCCAAAATCAAGCGAAGACATCGCCGTGATCTCTATGGCAACCTGGAGGCAATGATAGACAGGTGAGCTCGAATGTAAAGGATAGTCATACAATCCTCAAGTGTAATAAAAGTTTAAGATAGAATTATACGATTCAAACCATTTCTCTGGCCCTAACCTAGCTGGGACAGCAGCCCCTTCTTATGGTATTAAAGTAACTAAATAAATAAATTATATAAATTTCAATTTGATTAGGTTTCAATTTTATTTAAAATACTCGCTTTAATATATGTATATTATTATTAAAAATATAATTATAATAACATATATTATTATTATGTTTTTTATTATATATAATATATTATTTTTCACAATATTTATAATTTTGTTATTTTTTTTTTACCATTTGTTTATATGTTATAAAATAATTCTAACTTTTTTCTTAAAATGAATAATTTAAGTTAAATTTTGTTTTGTTTGCTTCGCTAATAATTGTATCCAGTCATTATGCTAAAACCTTAAGCTAGCTCTTGAAGATCGATTAGCTAAGAAAACTTTTTACAACCAATAATATTCCCCAACACTTTTAAAAAGTCTTTACTGAAACTTTTGCAATTTATGAGATCTCATCTAACCAACTTCACAATTATTTTAGCACACACTCGTAAGTTCATCAAAATATTTGAATGGAGATTCATATATTTTGCCTATTCGATTTAGACTTAATGCTCTCATTATGTTAAGAGAGCATCGTAAGGCCGTTTAGGTGACACGCTAAGCCAATGTTTGCATTGGCATACATTCAATAAATATCTCAATACCAAAATCATATGTAGCTACTTTACATGCCCGCAGTGTTCGTGAGCTGTGTGCGTATACGAATTGACTGACTGTTCCTTCGTGCACTCAAGCAGCGACTGTATATAGAATTATACCCACTTATATATAAATATATATATTAACATGTATATGAGTGTGCGTGTGTGCGTGTATTAGTGGGTGCTGCAGTCAGCCCAAGCACTTGGCTTATCACGCACAGTGCGGCCAAGCCCAAGACAACTTTCCCAGCTCAAGTGGTCTGCCCTCCCCCTCAACTTACAGCCTCAAACTGCCACGCCCTTCTCCAGGCACGCCTGCCAGCCACAACTATATTCTGTTCGGCTGTTTGGCTGTTTGTCTGTCTGTCTGTCTGTCTGTGTGTGTGTGAGTGTGGGAGTGTGAATGCGTGCGGCTGGCATAATAATAAAATGTTGGTATTTTATATTAGCATTTAAATTGGCTTTTTGTATGCTTCGGAAATAGTTTAATATCCGAAAAGTCTTTTGCGCACAACTTTAATATTGACCCAAGGAAAAATGCACTACAACAAAGACTACTATAATTGGGAACGAGAATTATGTGCAGCGTCTTTACAGGGCAAACATCTGCATATATCATTTGAATTTGCAGCTCCCAGCTACCATTATCTGGTGGGTTCGATCTGTAAAATGCCCCGACCTTATCGAGGCGAAACAGATACGCACACACATAGGGAAAGACAGAACGAGAGACACATTGTCATGGTAATCACGGGGCTTAGGTCTATTTGTGCGTCATTTGCAGCGACTGCTAAGCCTCGAGTGGTCATCAGAAGTTTTGGCCCGAACATTTGACTCTAACTTGGGTGTCCCATTGACCTTAGCCAGGCTTTTATAAACGTGCTCATCTTGGCATTGGGGCCTATTTTATGATTGTTTTCATTCGATTCGATGCTATTCGATTCGTTTGGTTTCGATTCGATTCGTTTGGCTTGTGCTTCGATTGTCTGTTTTGCTTAGCGCCCACAATTGACGCCTGCCAATTTTTGGCCATTGACTTTGGCCTTGCTTTACGAGCCTCTTTGTTCTAATGGGTCAACTAAGCGCTTTGCTTTGCCAACAAACATTTCTTCACACACACACACACACACGTACACGCACGCACGCACGCACTTTCTGGGCTTGTACCAACTTAGACGACAGATACATACATGCATATGTATGTATGCATGTCTGCGAGGTTAATGAAGTTGTTTGTTTGTTTACTGGTTTCCACAATGCCAGCCATTGGCATGGCTAGCACACAGCAGAGCAAGGCTTTACTAGACTTGGGCCGATTCACGAGTTTCGCCAACCTACTTTAACAAATTCCATATTTTGTGCACCACTAGTGGATGTCTGCTTAGCCAAATCCAAGGAGTGAATTAAATTAAATAATATTATATTTCATTCAACTGTATTTTATATGTATTTTATTTATATATTGGAAGGGATAGGATGTAGGGCAACAAAAGTCACTACTGCAGAAAGAATCTAACAATTATTAAAGTTAGTTTTCATATATATTTGTATATATAAAATATACATATATTTTCAATATTATTATTTATTTTTACTCAGAAAAAAATATTTAAAAGTTAAATAAACTCAAATAAAATTAATTTATGTTTAGAAAAAAAAACCTTTTTAAATTTTCCTCATTGAAGACATAATAAATATTTTAAAATAATAATTTCTTTTTATATAAAAACAAAACATGCCTTAAGCTGATACCTAAATGTTTAATTTGATTCAACAACTTTTCTACAGGTGTAGATGCTATTCAACTCCTCCCAGTAAACAAGCAATTCGTAAAGGTTAAAGAACATAGAGCAGCTAGCACTGCACTCCATCAATTGAACGGCAATCAAACCATCGATCTTCATCGTCGGTGGTGCAGGCATCTCTGACTGCGCCACTAGTGCTAACTGTTTTTGCGCAGGGCAGCTGCCGCTAGAGCGAGCCAGCAGGTGGATTTCTTGGCCCCGAAAAGCCTTATAGGCAATTCAATTAAACCGCAGCACCTGCCACAGCCTGTAAATGAATGTGTGTGTGTGTGAGTATGAGTGTGTGAGTGTTTGCCTTGGTGTGTGGCCTGTCTGTGTCGTGTTTATTGTAAACGTGACTGCGACGCCAACTTCGACTGTGTCTGCTGCTGTTGTTGTTGCTGCTGTTACTGCTGCTGTTGCTGGTGGCAATTGTTGGCACTGCAAAGCGACGTTGCAGCTGCATTCCGACACTAACTGTCGATTGGCACATTTGCACTTTGGCCATTTGTTTGGCAACGATTGTTCACCTTTTGTCGTTGTCTTTGCAAACGTCTTGCGGCAGTTGCACTGAGCCCTTCGAGCTGTACGGCACGTAGCTAGCCATGATTTACGCGCGCTTCGTATTGTTTAATTATCGTTTAATTGTTGCAAACTTTTTGATTTACGATTTAATTGCGACGACAAGTGCTGCAAATGCAGCCACTCCACTGCCAGCCATTTTCATGACTCATAAAACAGACGCACCACTTGGCAGCGTCAACGCTTCCAATGATTTATTGCCGCAGCCGCCGCCGTTGGTGCCGCCGCCGCTGCCGGTGCCAGCATTGATGACTATGATGGAACGTGCAAAGACAACGTCTGCGTCATTCGCCCCCTTGGACCAACCGCTGCCAGCCAAATCCGTGCGCCGGCTGAGCCGACCCAAGCGTTATCTCAGCTTTCCCGAAGGCTCCTCCTTCACCGTATGTGTCACTGTCACATTGGACATCGACTCCCATCCCCGCTCATCTCTGTCGCTTCGCTCGTCGAGTAACATCTCTGATTTCTTGCACTTTTCACTGCTCAGGTTGCTGTGTGCATCACAGTCGGCATCATTGGCAATCCCTACTATGCCTACAATAGTTACGGCCTTAATTGGGGCGTGGCCTACGATCTGCCCAACAATACGTGGGTCCTGCAGAGCCTGCACGGCTTCACACGGAATCCCTCACTTGCACCTGTATTACGCCGTCGCACCAGGAGTGCCATCTATCAGGATATTGAAGCAATCGCTGATAAGTAATACATATTATTTATTATATATATTCAAAAGGGGAGGACCAACAATTAATGAGATTTACTAAGTAAATTAATATAGTGCAGAATATTATATGCATTATAATAGACTATATTTAACGAGTTTAGTTTTTTTTTTTTTTTTTTTTTTTTTTTTTTCTATCAATACTCTCAACGTAAACAAAAAAGTTTATATTATCAGTCGAAGCATTTTTATTTTATTTCTATATATATATAAACCTAGACTTTTCGCAAGCTTCCAGTATTCTTATTATATTAAGTAAGTAGTATATATAAGTATAAGAACATGATCAATCAGCATAAGAATACTTATATATATACTTATAAATATGAAAACTTCTTAAGTATGATTTTTTCACTATTGTTTAAATTTATTTTTATGTTGCTGAATTATTCATTGCTTACTGAAAGAAGCTTAGAAGTTATGTTTATATATTTTATAAAACTTTTTACATTTTGTGTAAATATGTATGCACATAGATATTTTAATCTACCCATTATTTTTTCTTGATTTTTTAAACTGTAACTTTATTTCTAATATTTCACTTAATTTAATTCATATTTTTGCCCACAATTTCAGCATGGGCTACAATGGACGTGATTGCGTTCTGCGCACTCTTTGCGAGAGTCGTCAATATTTCCAGCGCAATAAGATGAACATGATTGGTGAGATGCTGCGCATAATATTCAGGTATTATATATATTTATACATATTGAGTGACAGATGAGCATATTAATTTCTCACTCCATTCCTCTCTTTCAGCTTGCCCAAGCAGCGCATTTTCACGCGAGAGTTGCAGGAAAATTCAGACATTGTGCATTACGATAATGCCTATCGGCACGCCCATAATGTCGACTGTGCCCAGCAATACGCCTGTCAGTTCTCGCTACTGGAGTTGGCTTTCGGTAAATACTCGACGCCGCCGAAAAATTATTACGCCCAATAAATTGCAATACAAAAATTGTCTTATGAAATCGTTTTAATGGATCCTTATGTCGCGGTGCGCCAGCCATGGCAATCCCTTGTCCCAATCACTTGTTGCCATCGGGTTATAAATGACAATTCATTTTTCTCGACTGCCCCCATTGCATCCCGTTGTGTCCAATCGAAGCCGTGTCCAGATATGTATGTTGTCTCGCAGCGAGAGTTGGAACTGAGAGCCCGAACTCAACGGCAGATGCGAGGAGCGAGGGGAGTGGGTTGAGTGTGTGAGTGTGAGCACTTATTGCCGTCTGGCACAGCGACTTATGCCAAAAGCCTGAACATTATTTAATTGAAAAGAAATATATAAAAACAAAAAAAGAAGCAGAGAGCACTGGGAGACCTACCAAATATATTTGGCAAACTTTTTGGAAATTTAATTTAATCAACAAGCTCGAAAAATTGCCAGACCTGACAGTTGAGTGAAAATTAAGCGAAACATTTAAGCGCTGACAAACTTTCACAGTCCACATAGACAGCTGGTAAAAGTCTCTGCCAAGAGCCTGTTTATTAAAAATTCTTAGAAAATATACCTCATAGACTTATTAATATTGACACAAAAAAAATAATAATAGTAAAACAATACAAAATATAAAATAAATTAGTTAGCAAATATTTATAATAATAGTAATAATAATAAATAAAAATTAAATCGAATGATAAAACTAAATTGACAAATTATTGTTCATCCACTCCATGTAAGAGTATATAAGACAGCGTTGGGATTCCTGGGCTACACGCTTTGCTGCTATCTGAACTAAGATAAATCGCCAAATAAACTCTGCAGCTGAGTCATGTCATTTTAATGATGTGGAGCTCAATGTAACAAAAAAAAAATAATTTAGTCATTCATTTTAAGACTAGACTATTTTAAATGTCTTAAGCGTGCTTCAAAAGGAAACTGGGATTGATTTTCCATTTGAATTTATGCGTGTACAGCTGTGCATAAATAATGTGCATGTGTATGTATGTATGTAAGAATATTTCAATTGTAAGCTTAGCAGCACATGTACTTATAAGCTCGCCAGAGTAAACCAATTTTTTAGGAGACAACACTGCATGCATACGCAATCAGGCGACTCATGTCCAGCCCCTTGGCTCTCTTTCTGTTGTTGCACATACTTTTGTAAATGTATGTCGATATATATAGTTAGTTTTTATTTATTACAGGTTTATTTAAAAACTAATATTTATGCATTTATAGAAAAGAATATGTTGTGCGCCTGCCTAATCCTTCGTATGTTTTCTGTTGCAAGGGTTTTAGTTGTATGTTATATTCTCGCAGGGTTCGATTAGGTTCGAGACGAGTCACAAACTCAACACCTAATGCGTGGATGATGCATCGAGCAAAAACTTTTTCAACGCATACAATTTGTGCATTACCTCAAAATCCACTCACACTTCTAGGCTCAATCAAAGGAAATATCGGATATAAAATCTGTCTCCCAGCATTCGCTCCCAGCATTCAACTGAAAGAGTAGATCCTTATACAAAACTTCACAGATATGCAGATGTCTCACAGCTGTGTTGCATGGTCAGTAGACTTGGAGAGTTGATCAGCTGTTCCATATCGTTAAACATTGCTGTTGAAACATTGGCTTTAATATTCGATTTGTTTATCATTCCAACAAAATATTCCTAGGAAAACAATTTCATGCAAGCTACTATAAATATATATATTCCAGAAACTTTTACTACTCCTCATGGGATTTTCTTATGACTTCAGCTGACTTGCATATATTTAAACTTAATCAAATAAATTACTAATTATCAAAATTCTTTACTGTTTCGCCCTAACATAATTTATCAATTTGTCTTTTCTTAGAATAAAAGAAAGTTCACCCAGATTCAAGCCCGATTTTCAATCGCTCTTCGCACCTCTTTCATTAATGTGCCCGCAGTTGGCTGGGTAAATTCTTCATGTCAACACGAATCAGCACGAAGATTAGCGTCATGAAAGATAGAGAGAAAAAGTGTTAACAAGTGGATGTCATGTCCGGCTCTCTTCTGAAGACAGTCAGCGAATGGCCAGCGGGAGAGAAATAGAGACGGGAAAGCAAACGTAAAACTGGTACAAGCTGAAGCAGAGACATGCGATGTCAGAGCAGCACACAAAGCGATAAATAAGTAAATAAGCAATGCCAACAATAACAAACGACAATGAAAGGCAGGGGACAACGACTTTTCAGTTGTTGTTGGTATTTTGTTTGTCTGCTTCGCTGCTTGGGCTCTCAGCTGAAGCTGGGGTAAGACAGAGACTGAGGCTGAAGCTGAAGCTGAAGCTATGACTTTGGCTGAGGCTGAGGTGGTGGTCTATACCGGTATTTATGTCAAACAGATTAAGTATACCAGGGCACATCAGTCACCAGGAAAAACTGGACGGAAGCGCGTCGCACAAACGAGCAGACAATGTACACAAAGAAAACAAAAAGAAAAGACCAATATTAAATTAAAAGAAAAAGACAAGTCAAATAAAATAATTGTGTTTAACATTTTGTAAATCAATAATGTCGTCGCCTGATAGTGTATTAATTAGGCGCAAATGCCGAGGCAGCTGCTCCTTGATTTGCCTGTCAGCACGCCCATCAGCCGTAGCGTTGATGCTGATGATGGTTCTGTTTTGGATGGGCCCGGCTGTTGTGCAGAGCGCCGACGAGTTCGATGCCGCCCTCAGCGACAGGCGTCACAACAGCAGCGACAACATTGACATGCACTACGACAATTTCAACACCAGCGAGCTGACAGTTAACAATGGCACACGGATCCTGCGACGTGGCAAACGCTTCCTGGAGTTCACAAAGGGCTCGCGTATGTCGGTGAGTGGAGCGTCTTAATGCGTCTCGCTTCTATAGTCTATAGTACTGACTGAACTCCCCTTTGCTACGGTAGTGGCGTACCAATGGCAAGAACACTCTGCTCAAAATCAATACACTCTTCGCCTATGGCTATGGCTTTCGTGCCAACTATCCGTTTCCTGATCCCAAGGAGCAGCGTCAGAAAAACAGAATTCTGTACAAGCGCGACTTGTTCTCAAAACTGGAATCTGCCCTGGATGGGTAAGTACTCACTGCACCACACATCATGCTACAACCTTGTTCGTATATTTCAATCGAGCATCGTTTGTTTATAGCCACGGCTTTGATGGACGCGCCTGCTTGCTGAAATCCTTCTGCACGGCCATTTTGGATGTCGATAAGCCACATCAGAAGAGCGGAATGCTGTTCAAGCTACTCAAGCTAATATTTAGGTGAGTAAAGAGTAGAGCCCACAAACATGACTGATACCGTGTTCGCAATTCGCATCTGTATTCTGCCGTTGGCAAGTCAATGGATTATTTTAGAAATTGTTTTCCAAGAGCACAAATTAGTATTTTAAGAAATGTAGTCAAAGAACTCAGCAGTTGCTTACACACTGACTATATTCACTTCGCATGGTAGCGTCACATTGTCACAGTGGCACAGGAATTGGCTCAGTTAGAGCACTTAGCAGGCTAGTCGTAATCAATGTTATTGTCAGAACCAGTTTGGATTTTCAACAAGAAACTGCTGCGTTTGTCACATTTGTAACTGTCCGGGCTGCTGTCACGCAGCGTTTGGTTCAGTTCTCCGGCTGCAACCTCAGCAATGAACATTTTTCAGGTCTCTCTGTTGCTTACAGCTGCTTTGGTCAACTTGACTTTGGCTGCGCAGCAGAATGCAACTACTCAGCATAGTCGAGCCAAACGCTTTCTGGACATAATAGAGACATCTCGTATATTTGTGGGTAACAGTCGAGCAGCAGAGGCTTAACATGCCATTCGAACAAATGCTTAACAAATGCCTCTTTTCATTTGAAGTTTCGCATAAACGTCAAGAACAATGTGATAGCAAGCCCAACTATATGGGCCCATGGCTTTGGATTTCGAGCCAACACACCGATATCAGTGAAGCATGAGAATCGACCCTTCAGAAGGGACACATACGAGCTGCTCCACGAGCTAATGGACCGCAGTGGCTTCGATGGCCGAGCCTGTGCCCTTAAAGCATACTGCACAGCATTAGCTGGGCACGATAGTGAGGGTTTCTTATACAAACTATTCAGATATATGTTTACGTAAGTTAGGATCCGATTGTCTATGAAGCTGACATTTTCTTTATTTTTCTTTTTCCTTTCAGCCTTGAGGATCACGAGAAGCATCACATGCCGTATCTGCGCGAGGAGAACTGCGAGCAGATTCTACATAGCCACTGCCCGTTGAGCTTTGACAGCATATCACCATACACAGACGACATCTGACAGCGGAGCTTTATTGGGATCGACTACGAAAAACTGTAAAACAAAAGATAAATAAAGAGAACTCAAAAAATAAGAACAAGTGTCTAATTTGGGTACGTCTAAATGTGTAGAATTCTGCTAATAAAATCACAAAGGGGCTTTTAGAGTACCCCATATAACTTACTCAACAAACTAAATAATAAATAGAAAAAAAAAAAAAATTTTAAATTAGTTTATTCTTTTTGTTTTTTCCTTCCTAAAAATTGAGTTTAAGCAGATAATAATAAATTCTATATTTAGTAAAAATAGTATTATAAAAATAATATTTTACAGAATTATTGGAAACTAAATAATTAGCTACAAATAGTTAGGAATAGGTTGGTGTTATTTTTAATCTTATTAACAATTTTATACAAATTTAATATATTTTATTAGGCAACACCGTTGAGGTACTCTGACAAAAAGACTTTTCTCTCGTGAAGTGTAGCACAATTTCAAACAAGTAGTTTTTTATATGCATATCAAGAGGGCCGGCTATGCATTAATTCTTAATTAATTATTGATAGTTGTTGTTGTGTCTGTGTTGTGTTATTTATAATTAAGCTGTGCCATTTCCAGGTGACCTTTTTATTGCAGCGCGCAACATGCATTTAATTGGCATTTATATTAAACAGCCGAGGCGAGCGGAGCAGAGCAAAGCAGAGAGGCAAGTGGCAAAAAAAAATGTAGCATACTTTTTTGCGGGCGCTCATTGTTGACCTCATTGCATGACAAAAGTTGCAGTCGCTGCTGCCGCTGCCGCTGCTGCTGCAGCTGCTGATGCTGATGCTGTTTAATGTCACCAGCATGAAATGCCAAGTGTTGTTAAAATGTTTGCGAGCGCCTTTGAGCCAGTTGACACGCCCATGCCCGCAGACCTGTGGACCACGCCCGGCATTAAAAATTAACTTTAATTAAGTTGAAAACATAAATTACACGCACGCATACGATGGCATATAAAAATGCACACACACACATGCATGCGTGCACATGCAGGCATTTTGTTGTAATTGCACAATTGCTTTTGCGGTTGTTGTAGTTGCCGGCACTCTTCAAGTTTGTTTCGCACACAAAGAATTTCCGTTTTTCGCTGCAGAGCCCGAGCACAGCCGCAAATGAGCTAAACTGATCTAATTGACCGACTAGCATATACCCTGTACTCGATTCGCTACGAGTTATCTCGAGCTCTCGCAAATGCCCCACTTAATTGATGCCTGATTAGAGGCTCTGACAAAGTAAACTCCTGTAAAATGGAACGCTCATATTTGCTAAGGCTAGAGCTAGAGCATATACGAATTTTAAGAACCTCTTGTATTTCTCTCCAGCTGTACAATGACACACAATTTCCCAAGCTTTTACAATTAATAACTGCTGGAAGAAGTTGCAGCAGCTGCAGTATTCCAAATATCACACTCTCACATTCTCACATAGTCACTGCAGCGAGTTTGTGTTTTATGATATTTCTCTCTCGTTGTTTCTGTTTATTTTTTTTTGTGTACCTTGAGAGAATGTAAAATAAATTACGTGTAAGAAGCTAAGCTACCTTCCCCCGCTGAGCACACGCAGCGCTTCAGCAATCAAGTTTTCAATAGCTTTACGTATAAAGTTTCGTCTGCAATCTTAGCAATTGCATAAATACATTGTCTGCAGAGTATTAATTTCCATTCGATTTGATTAGATTGTTTTGGAAATTATTTTCAAATCGCTTCAATTGTGATTGTCATATGATATTTCTATGGCAATGCAAATTATTATTTGATCATAGCTCATGACAAGTTCTAACATTAAATGGGGCAAACCACAAGCGTCAATCACAAATTAGATAGTTAATTGCAGTGTCATGATAGCAGTTTGAAATGTGACCAAATCATTTGGGCTAATTCGCAAGAGCTCTAATAACGCGTATCCCAAACTCACAATTTGATATGAAAACAAAATTACAAGGGTATATACATATGTGCATATAGATGTAATCTCTTATTGAACAATAAGATAATATATTTGCAGCAGTAGTTATGAGTTATCTATGCCAAAATCCAAGTGAAGAAACTTGACAACATTTGTGGTTAAATAAGAATATATGTATATAAATTAAATTAAACAAATTAAATTAAATTAAATTAAATTAAATTAACAAATGGCATTTGACAATTAGTTCCTCAACACTGATGCTAATCATCAGTTGACCTATACAGAGTTACGGAATCTGGCGACGTGGGTGTCAGTGTTTGTGTGGTGCGCCCCGTGGGTCAGTTTGTAGCGAGCCAAATAGTTAATGTACAAGCTTAACGCGCACACCGGCGCACACCTGGCATAATTTATTGGCATTCGAGGGCGCCCAATGATGTTCGTGGCAGGAGCAAGAGCAGCGGCTGGAGCTCATTATGCATGCAGGCAAAAGGCTGGGCGGAACAGTGGCAAACAGAGCTCGATCTGGTTGCATTCATACATTAATCGCCGCCCGGGCGGCAAATTGATTTGATGCGATGTCAATTAAAATGTGCAATTAATTTAATTTCCTTTGCCCCACATTATCGGCCACCGGCGCCCGCCTGCCTGCCGCACAGCCAGCGAGCCAGAGGCGGGATCTGCTAATGAGCTCAGTTAGCCAATTGAGTTTGCAACCATGAATGCCAGGATTTGCGTTTGAGTGTAGCTAAATTAAGCTGCCTATAATATCACACTGTGTACATTTGCAATTAGTCAAATGCACGCACACTACTGTCCACCCAAATAGGGTCATTTGAGAAGATATTCCGTTTAAATCATTTACTTTAAAGTTGACTTTAGGTCTATTTCACTTTTACTATTCGCTTGCAGAGATCTTTCGAGTACTTGAATAGTTATGCTGGTATTAAAGTCTGCTTTATTTGCCCTTCCAGCACTGCTTGGCTTTAATTATAAAATGCTTGACGGAGATGCAGCACTGGTTCGTTCTCCAAATTAGTTCAAGGATTAGTGTAATAAAACTAACATGCTAACGATTCACTCAGCCCTTTTGTTGATGTTGTGGGGGTGGCTTGGGCTGGGCGCTGCAGGCATTTGTCTGGGGGCATGTCGCAATTTCCCAATTAGCTACTCATTGAGATAAATTTCTTATGCAAATGATGACAAGGCCAAGCAGCAGCAGCAGCAGAAACTGTGACAATTTTTAAGGCAAGCACTGAAGTAGCATCGACGACCTAGTCAGCACATCTCTCGCCTGGGACTTGGCCGGGGACCTTAGCAACCTGCGAACAGCGACCGAGACAATGCCCAGGCTGAGTGACATTGAGTGACTCGCGCCACGCCTCTGGCTCACTCTCTCTAATTAGCTGCTGACGTTTGCCTGCTGCCAACAGCCCAAGAAGAACAACAACACAGAAAGGCATCAGAATTTGACATAATTAAAAGACTGGTGACTGACACAAGCAGCGAAATGAAATGCGAGTCGACTTTTCAGTCCCAATCATATGCCAGTCTACAATTGCGCCGCACTCTCAGTTACTTCAGCTCGCTCTCTATAATAATACAAATAATATAATACGATAATATTTGATTTCTTTCTGAATGCTAATCCGTTCTGTCAACTGTGCCATATTTCGTTTCTTCTCGAAATTGTGCTGAATTGCCGTTACGGTACTTTAAACTGGTTCAACTCAGTTCATTGAACGCCCAGCCCACAGAACGGCCGTTAGCTCACGCCCAGGTGCTAATCGGTAATGCTCTCTGGTTTAATCAGGTTCATTGGACTTGAAAATGGAGCTGCCAATTGACGTCGCATGCTCTTCAAATAGTTCCTCAATGCGAAAGCCGTAAATTAAGCCAGAATTTTTCACTGAGCTGCTGCTGGACATTGTGTATATTCTCTTTCATGACAGCTCGAGATTGTTCTATGAAAATGCTCAATTAAAAAGATATAAAAAGAAAAATATTTATAATATAATATTTATATAATATTTATACAATCAATAATTAAATCACAGTTGCCTGATTAATCAAAAATAAATAAATAGACTTCAATATGAAATATTTTATTTATATATTTAAAAGTAATGTACAATTATTATATAAAAATTTTAATGGGCATGCCCCATAGAATTTTATCTATAAAAATTATTTTAGTTAGTTCATTTAATATTAATGTCTTATGAAGATTTTACAATTCATATTTCTTTGATTTTTAACACATTTCCAACGGCTAAGAGAATTATATTAGGACCAGAATTTAATAAGTTTTCACAATTATTAGTAGAAATTATATATATAATAATTTTTGTGTTTATTTACTTCGCACACTTTAAGCAGTTAGTTCACTGAATCAAAATGCACACAGCAAATTTTAATTAATTAATTTAACTATGGTTATGCACAGAAATACAGATTAGAAAGTTTGTTGCCGAAAATATCCAAAATTTTGAATTTTCTTATCAGCGCGTGAATTGCGCTTGAGAGAGCACAGAGAACTTTGTTGGTACAACCTAAATGTCTACACACATACACACACACACACACACACACAGAGAGACCGAGCGAGTCACAGCTGACACTCGACATGTAAATTGCTCATACGCAACGTGGGCAGCACCCGGTTCAACAAGCAGCAGTAACAACAACAACAACAATAACAACAGCAGCAGTAACAACAATTGAAATGGCGCTTATTAAAGTTAGACTTGTACTTTTGGGTGGCTGTCTAGCTCTAGGTGTGGCACGTGGCATGTGGCATGCAAAAGTTGCTGCAGCAAAAATTAAACATTGCTTTTGTACGGCGCATGCGATAATTGGGAACAATAGAAGAAACAAGTTGGAAATTGGAAATGAGTGGAACGCGTTTGCCTGCAACACTGCAATTGTTTGTTGGAGTCTGACTCTATATGTATATGTACATATATGTGTGTATGTATTTGTAGGAGCCCCTCTTAATAGCTACCCCTCGCCCATTGGCCTGGGCAGAACCCACTTCTCTACACATGTTGTAGACGTTTGTTTGCCAGCGACATTCACGTCTCGCTGCGCTTTTTGCATGCAGCCGCTGCCTGCGGGCATTAAGTGTGATTTTATGCGATTTGCACCGCGCAAAGCCTCTGTCCGCGCCCCAATGCCAAGCGAAAGAACCGCAGCACTCAGCCCCCCGCTTCCTCAACTCATTGCTAACACCAGTCCCATTGCTAATTTACATTTGACAAATGTTTTGCATGCTACGAAAATTTTTGCGACTGCTGCAACGACTGTGTTGGCAAGTGCAACTGCTGTTCGTTAGGTACCCACCACCGAGCAACTAATACAATCATTTCCCACCCCCACCCACCTCTCCCTCTCTCTCTCGCTCTGTCTCTCTCTCTCTCTAGGCCAAGCGCACACACACAGAGACTCACCCAACGACTGGCACCCGCAGTATGCGCAATGTGTTTTGTTTGGTGCATTTGTTTTCATTTGGTTACAATGCTGACATTGTTTACAGTTCAACTTGGTAAAAATTAGCAAAAATCTCACATGAGCAACCAAAAAGAGGAGCAAACTAAAAAACACACAGAAGCCAGCTGGAAATTTGCTTTAATTTAAATTTATGTTGCTCTCTGTTCGGCGTGTTTGCTATACGAGCGGGGGAGAGGGGAACACATGCATGTGCGATAATTGCTGAGAGGTTGCAACTTAAACGGAGGTGTTGATTGTATGTAAGAGTGTCTCTCTGTGTGTGAAACACAATGAGGGAATGGAAATTATAGTGCGCAGAGCACATCAATTTGCGTGCACAAATTAAAGGTTTTATATTCAAGAAAACTGCACAATTTCCATATTTATTTATTTACTTAGGTTTCAGCTTCTAAATAACGTAAAAAACTTGAAACTTAATAAAATAAAAAAACTTTTAAAAACTCTTTATTAAAACTAAAAAATTAAATTAAAAATCTCCAAAAATTTTTAGCATTTTCTAATTTGAATCCTTGGTTTAGTTAGATGCATTAAAAATGTTATATGACTATCCCAAATTTCATTTTTGGTTTAATAATGCAAAAACATGTTAAGCAACTACGATGTTCATTATTTACTGTTGTTGTACTTATCAATTTCAATATAACCTCGACAAATTTTGATACAGTGGAATATGCATTATTGCAAAATTTAACGTTGCTCAAAGAATGCGTTTTATATTTACGTTGGCCCAAAGCCACACGCTGACTGTTTTTTGTATGTGCCAGGTTTGTTCCAAATGTATCGCCCATGTGTCAACGCTGTGCTATATGTTAAAACTATCTGAACCGTATGCCCAGGGGCTTTGGAGCCATTATCGAATGGTTGGAGGCCGACAGTTCGCACCTTTAACTGCCTCTGTAAGCGGCAATAAAACGAGTTAACGACACTCAATTGGGTGTTAATTGTACAATTAAACGGTGCTGACCATCTGACCGACCAAACCAACAGTCGAAGAGCCAACCGACTGCCGGACGCTATATCCATCGTATCAGTTCAGCTCTGACAGCTAATGGCATCAATATTGAAAAGGAAAAATAGGTGAATGAAAATTTCGTTCCCTGCGCAGCGGCTCGCCTCTCTAATCGTAATTATCTGCATCATAAATTTCGGCGCAAATTGCCCTTGAGGCATTGAAAATGGACGCGTTTTAATTGTGGACACGAAGCCAGCCACGAAGTTCTACAGCATTTTTAGCTGCTGAAAACTGCATTAATTTAACGCATGATTGGCATTGCCACCAAATGGAACTGTCGCATCGCAGCCAAAGTGAAATTATGCAAATTTGAAGTGAGTGTGTGTGTGTGTGAGCGAGTGTGAACATGTGTGTGTGTGTGTTTGTTAATACCATGGCAAGCCCCAATAATTGACAGCTTAATTGTCCACAGCCTCGAACGGCGACTATTCAACGCTTCAATTACACAAAGCAAAAACAAAAAAGTCCAAATAAATTAAAAACAATTCGGAGAATTACATTTTTGATGCAAACTCATATTGATGTATATAAATTTACAAACTAAATATGAAATATTTAAGCTAAATCAATAAATTTAAATCGCTTCAAGTGCGAGTAAAAATTAGACTACAATTTAATGTTAAGTATTTACATAGAAAATTAATTATTGATCAAATAAAATATTTTACAATTTTTCATAATTATTAATCAGTTAAATTAAAATTTTTAAATAATAAGAAAACGTAATTATGATATTTAAATTTTTATTTGTTTATATAGGAATTGTTATTATTATCTAAAATATATTTTGTTATTTATATTTATTATTATTTATATATATATATATATTAAGCTTTAGACAATATTGAATTTATTTCTAGACAAATAATCACCAGCTGAACTTTTGCAAATCATTATTCAAAACCAAGCTAAAGCATGGCTAGAAGCATCATAATTTTATTTGGCTGTGCATCGTTGGTTGCTTTGGTGCTCCTGCTGAGCCAGAGTAAAAAGCTTTTGAGCAGCCGAGCTAATGAATCAAATGAATTAGCGATGTCGACCACCAATTACACACATGCAGCTGCTCGGGAAGGCGGTCCCTTTGACGATGACTCGATGGCTTCAGCGCGTCAGCAGCTTTTGTTGCTGCATCGTCAGAAGCGGTATCTGGTGTTTCCCGAGGGCAGCTCTTTCCAGCTGGTCTTTGATTTAATCATACCCATTGTGGACTACACCAATTTCGCTATTCTGGGCATCACATGCGCCGTGGCCTGGGAGCTGCCCAGCAAGCCGCCCAGCGAGCTGCTGGAGAACCTGCGCACCCGCCTCAACGATGGCACACTGGGCACAGTGCGGCGCACCGACAGCGTCCAGCAGGAGACGGTCGTCATGGCGGAGACCAGCAATATTCGAACCCCCATTAATTGGCAGGCTATGCACGCGCCACCAACATCGGTGTCTGCAGCTGCAGCGTCCACATATGCCTCCAATGTCCACAACTATCCGTACCATACGACGAATGTGCGGGACGGCGCGGGCACTTCCGCTTATGCAAATTCGCCTAATGGACAACAGCATGCAGGGAGGCCGACTAATTGGCATGCGCGACAGTCAATACCAAAGTGGCGACAGTGGGCAGCTGCCCCCACCTCCCGCCCACCACTACGCGGCAGCAACGACCGCTGGTCAGACAATTGGTGGCAGCGCAACAAAGACAGGGTGCAGCAGAATTGGCGCAGAAAGCAGCAACAGTGGAGCTTCTATCAGCAGCCAACGTGGAGCACCTATGGGCAGCCAATGCAAAGGTATTTATGCAGACGAGAGTCTAAACAAAAGAAAACTAATTATATTTTAAATAAATATTATTAAAATTGAGCAAAGCAATGTAAAGAACAGGAAGTGAGATTTGTCATATTCTAAAAAAAAATTAAATACTTTTTTCTATTAATAAATATATTAATAAATAAAAATATAAATCAATTATAATTTAGGTATATAAAAAAACAAATCATTTATTTAATTCATTTATTTTTTGTTTACTTTAATTATACATCCTTTAGCTACTTATCTAACACAGCTGCAAATTCTCACTTCAGCAAGCCGAATAATTAATGTTCATTTAATTATTTATTTAGATAGTCTCATCTCATGAACTTATAGTTTATTATGCTATAAACATAATATTCAATTAAATTTGTATTATTCAACAGACAAGAGTACAGCAACAGCTACGCACAGCGCCCACGTCAGGTGCTGCAGCGACCACCCGAGCACCACATTTATCCCGTATTCGGGAGGCGGCGGCGACGACGACGAGATGTGCCAGATCAGCTAGCAAAGGATGACATCGTTGAGCGCCTGCACCTGCAGCAGCATCTGAGCTCGCGAGGACTGCTCTTTGGCAAGATCGAACGGCTGTATAAAACGTGAGTGTGCGCCACACACAGCCATGACCCACTGTACTAAGTCCCATTCCACAGGCGACAGCTTAATGGGACAGCATGCATTCAGCGAGCACTTTGCGAATCGGCCCAACGTCTGGGACAGACGATGACAGCTTCAGCTGAGCCCCAGAGCTTTATTATGGAGCTGGTGTCTGCCATCTTTCAATTGCCGAGCGACAATGAAGCCGCCGAAGTGCTGCTGCGGCACATCCCCCCACATTATGTGGAAGCGCATCAGCAGCAAGGAAACTGTCGACAAATTTATGCCGGCTGCACTCACACATTTTGGATGCAATAAGGAGCAGAATGTCCCTAATATCCACACATGTTGCCATATTTATTTCTTTTATTAAACAATCAAATATTAAATGAACAAAGTCTCCAAGTTTTTCATTATAAAATGCCTCACATGTAGAAGAGATTTGCTTAATTAAAATTTTATTATTTGACAATTATTTCTACATATCGAAAATACTTTCCTATTAACCTAATCAGATTTTACGACTACTTTCCCCTGTTTGTTTGTCTTTTCTAATTTGGCCAAACTAGAACTAGATTGAGTTAGTCACAATCCAAATATTATTGATGGCTGTTTAGCTTTTTAGAACTGACCCGTTCCGACCAGAAGAAGTTGGTCGCGTGATAAAGTAATTTGAGCCTTTAAATGGACCAATGAGCATACGAAGCAAGCACAATTCGAAACACAAACTGCTTCTTAGAACGAAGCAGAACGAGAAAAAAATGCATTAAAAATACCGATACGGAATATAGCCGACTTGTGAGTTGCCCTGTAAATACAACTTCTATACTACTTCTACTTCTACTTCTAATTCTACTACTACTGCTTCTACTATTACTACTTCTACTACTACTGCTTCTACTATTACTACTTCTACTACTACTGCTTCTACTATT